TCCTCCTCGGATTCAGACTCCAACAGGGGCATGACAGCAACATTATCTTGGGACAGGGGTGTGATGCTAGTTCGCCTCCCCGTGGTTCACCCTGGATAGCGCGGTGGTGTGAACCAAATGACTAGCAACAACTGGCAGCCAGACTACGTTGAAGAATTGGCAGTTAGCAACAGTTGGCAGCCAGACATCTTTGTAGAGCTCCTGGCTCTCTCAATACACGGCAATGGATTAACCACTTTGATGTCAACACACAGTGGGAAGCCAACTGGGCTGCTGTACACCCAGAGACAAGACAGTTACGTAGATGACCCTACACAAAAGGGGCCAGGTTTTGACTTCCCTTGCCAGCAGTGGTCAACTCTGAACAGGATCCGTACCCAACATGGTGTCTGCCAGGACTCATTGTTGAAGTGGGTCTCGTCTTTATCCCCAGTGTGACTGTGGTGCTCCTCGACACCACATTGTGTCCGAATGTCCATCCAGAGCTTACACCGCCCAATGTCTGATTTTTCTTTTTTCAACATAGACCATCCTGTTCTTGAATGGCTGGATGGACTGGACACTGACATCTGAACTACTATTAAGTCCATGTATTTGCCATACGCTAAATCAATCCATCAATCTTGGGATATGCCTTCATTTGTGTTACTGCATCATGGAATCAACAGCAAACAACAGTACATCTGTCCCAAAGGTGCTTTTTTCAGGAGACAACTGGACTTTCTTGTTTTTTTTCTTTTGAAGACGTTTCACTTCTCATCCAAGAAGCTTCTTCAGCTCTGACGGTGGGGAATGGGAGGATTTATATTCCTTGCGGACAGTTTACCAGTTGCTTCCTGAAAAAGCACTTTTGGGACAACCATGACCTGGATGACTGAGAATCTCTACAGGCTTTTAGCCATACAATTTGGGATGAATACCCTTTGGATAGTATGGGAGTGGGAATGGATTTTCCCCCCCAAAATTGCAGACTACAAGAACCAGGAGCACTACTCAGGTGACCCCATGGATACAGATGGTGGTCTCAACGGCCCTCTAAAAGGATGCAAATGACCAGCTTGCCTGCAAGGACTATAAATCCTCCCATTCCCCACCACCCAGCCAGAGCTGAAGAAGCTTCTTGGATGAAGAAGCGAAACGTCTTCAAAAGGAAAAACAAGGAAATTGAGTTGCCTCCTTGAAAAAGCACCTTTGGGATCACCATGACCCGGATGACAGAGAATCTCTACAGACTTTTAACAGTACATCTAGCGAATATTCCTGCTGAAAACATTGTGGGACACTTGCACGAAGCAGCTCATTGGTTGGGCAAATCAGAAGCAGCTGCTTTGCCATCCTATAATGAGAACGAGACAGTAAACTTCATTTCGCCAAGGAGGTCTTGGCAATAACCTACCGAATGTGCTACTTGCAGAAACCTGAAGAGGTTTTAATTCTTCTCTTTTTTTAAAAAAAATAAAAGAATAAAACATGTTTTATTGACTCCTGTTTAGCCTTCTGTACCTGCTCCCAAAGGGCTTGTATTTCCTGCGGCTTCAACACTCGTTGGAAGTTTCACAAGGCCTCAGAGCTTCGCTTCTGGCCAGTAAGCCAACATGGTTAAGTTGCCGTTGCCTTCAGCGGGGGGTGTGGGTGGCTGCAACTGAGCTGCACGTGCTGAGCTCAAGAGGGTCTTTCTTGGAAAGTAAGTACCACCGACAAATCAAGCTACCAAAACTATCAACGAGCTCTTGGTCGCCTAGAATTGCTTCTGGCTAGATTGGTGGCATAAAAGTTTGATAAATCGGTGAAATGAAAGGGAGAAGATACTCCTGGGTAAATTAACATGGCTTTGCTATGAGATTTTCTTAGATTTTCGGGTTAAGACTTTTTTTGCAACAAAAAGGAAGCCTTTAGTTCTAAAGGAAGGCTAAACACTTACAGGCGCTCAAGTCAGATTCTTGAACCTCAGTCAATTGGCCTAATTATCTACGAAGATCGAGAAAGAATGGGTTTAATTTCCAATTTACGAGACTGGAGTTAGCTGACATGTGTCATGCTCAGAAGGTCGCTAAGGTTAGAATGACCTAAACACCAAATCTGGATTGGTTTGCAAAACACTGTAATTCCTGATCGGTTGGGCTGATACTGTTGAGTCACTTGTTTAGGTTAGTGAACAGTTTTACATACTGGGGTTAAGTGGGTCACAGAGAGGTTAGGTTTGCTCTGATATATAATATCTGAGCAGCTCTGTTGCAGCCTGTAATTCTCCTCCCAAGAAAAATTCAGAACTACTGTGGGAATACCGCTTCTGCGGCCAAACACAGCGAGATTTGATAGTCTTAATTAAGGGAAGACTTGGATTCCCACTGGATTTTCTTCAATGAACTTAACCTGAAGCAATTTACACCAAGGAAGAAACTCCTTGCAAAGAAGATGAAAGCCCACTTAAGAGTTTGTTTCTCGCATTCTGAGAGTCCCTCAGGTGTGGTTTTTGTTTGGTTTCTTAGCAAACTCCCAAATGTGCTTTCATGTGTTTTGAACACTGAGGCTTCCATCTAGCCACTCTGTCTATAAAGCCCAGACCGATGGAAGGCTGAAGTGATGGTTGTCCTTCTGGAAGTCCCATCTCCAACCATTTGTCTGAAATGCTACAGGGTTTCCTGCCTGAGCAGAGAGTTGGACTAGAAGACCTCCAAGGTCTCTTCTGCTCTCTATTCTGTATTCTGTATTCTGTTCTCTATTCTACCCTCTATTCTGTTCTATTCTATATTCTTTTTATATTCTATTCTATATTCTCCATTCTATTGTGTATTCTATTCTGTTCTCTATTCTACCCTCTATTCTGTTCTATTCTATATTCTTTTTTATATTCTATCCTATATTCT